AACTCAGCAGTAGGGAACACGCAGTTAGCAAACCATCAATCCATCAAACCAGCAATCGTCAGCAATCCAGCAGGTTCTCTTGCTCCCTCTTTTGGCGGTTCACAACCGCACCCAAAATTACATGCTTTGCAGTTTAAAGTGACACACACTTAAACTTACTATCATAGTTTATATATATTATTTTACCCAAACTACGTTAGGTAACCTATGTTATTCCTAACAATCTCCTTTTAACGACCCCATAATCCTTTGCAGGGTGGAGTCTGGGCAACTGAATGGAGTGGAGTGTTTACTGGTCGGATGCCTTTCTTGTTGCCAGTGTGGATTTATATTCAGCAGATATATTCTCAATTATATAAATAGTCACCGTATGTCGTTGGGAAAAGATGATCCCAAAGAATGGCTTACTTGGAAAATGTCTTTTCTTTTCTTTTTTGTTCCTCCATTTTCTTGCATTAAGAATACGACACAGGCCATCCATGGGTTATATAAGCCTTAATTTTCATAATTCTGTCATTATGCAAGGAGGTAGAAAGATGCTGACCATTGTCAGGAAATCTTGAGGATTGCTTTTAACACAAAGAAAAGCTGGCAGCATTGCACAAAGCAAAGAAAAGCATTACTGAAGAACGTTAGTAAGATAGAAGAGGACATTCAATACATTATCGGAAGCTTCTATTAAAACATAATAAAAGGAATTTATGTTAAGGTATTGCAGACAATGGTACAGCTTCTTAGGCATGGACAGAGGATTTTTGAGCTTTTAAACACAGACAAAGAGGGCCTCTTATTAGCACTTGTGTTGTAAGAGCTTTGTTCACATCTAAGTTAATCTCAGATGTCTCTGTACTGTTCCAACCCAGTCCGAAATGAGTCTTTTCACTGGATTTTTGAAACCAGAACCAAGTCCCAAAACACCGGTTAAAATGTAAATAATTGAACAATGGCGAAACAGGGATGAGGCTTTAAATGCAACTTCGAAAGGACCGGGTTGTGCTTGTGAGGCACTGGGTGGAATAAGAAAAAAAAATATGGAATTCATCCAGAGATATTTGTTGTTAGGTAAAAGGTAAAATAGGGTTTCCCTCACACACACTTTTGGGGTTAAGTAAGAAAAGTATCACCTTGCAAAAAAATCTGTGCAGTTGCAAAGAATCAAGTCCAGTTTGATAACACATAGTGAATGAATGAATGAATCAATCAATTTAAATAAGATAAAGGTTTTTACAGATCCCTTATATCCTGGACATAAATAGTTTCAATTTCTACCCTCAAAACGATGCTATAGAGCACTGCACACCAGAACAACTAGACACAAGGACCGTTTTTTCCCGAATGCCATCACTCTGCTAAGCAACTAATTCCTACAACACTGTCAAACTATTTACTAAGACTGTATTAATATTCTCATCCTTCTTATTACCTATCTCCTACTGCTTACGACTATAACCTTGTTGCTTGTATCATTATAATTTATATTGTTTTATTTAGTTTCCTAGTATGATTTTGATTGCTTATTTAGTATCCTATGACTATCACTAAATGTTCTATCTTATGATACTTGATGAATGTAGTTTTAACATACACTGAGAGCTTATTCACCAAAGACAAATTCCTTGTGTCACACACTTGGCCAATACAAGAATTCTATTCTAGAAAGAATTCTGTTCTATTTCACTCAAGCTCAAATATTAGTGACTTCAATGAATTACAACCACAGCATTTTAAAAATTTCTTCTTTTTGGGCTGCAGCCAAGTAAATTCCTGTTAGTGCCTCATCTAAACTCTCTAGAAATCGTTAGGAAAAGGGATTTAAAATACATACCGATAACTCTTATTAAAAAGGTAGTCCTCCATTTATGACTGCAACTGAGCCAAACATTTCTTTTTTTTTTTAACAAATTTTATTCAGTTTTTCACATTAAAAACAAAAATCTCTTTTTAGTGGACAACGTATTTCCAGGTCATCACCTTTACATACAAATATGACAGCAATTATACATTCATATATGCATACTTAATTCTATTATTATTATTATTATTATTATTATTATTATTATTATTATTATTATTATTATTATTATGCATACTTAATTCTATTATTACCTTTTCCATTCCAAATTTTCAGTAAGGAGAGAAACAAACACATTAATTCTAGTCTCTTTCATTAATCTCTATCGAAACATCGTTTTGTTTCATTTCAATTATTTCAAATATAATTCTTTTAATATTTATTTTAAAAATAAAGATAAACAATATGTGTTTGCCTAATAATAATGATAATAATAATAAGTTGCCAATGTCTTTCCTTGCTTTTAATAGTCTATATTAACTTATTAATATAGTTGGTTCTTTAGTCTGTCATATTCCCTTTCCATTACACATTCTTTTTATAAATTCTAGATTAATACAAATTTTAACACTAAAAAAAAAAAACCCAAGTATAAGTTTCCCCCCTTTTACTGCTTTGAGTGTGATACCTCAATGATTAAAATATACCTTTATTTCCTCATCTTGATTCCCAATAAACCATTATTTTTAAGAAGTTACAATAATAATCATTACATCTTTTCATTTGGATTCCACAGCATATTTCCCCCCTTGATTTTTAATAAGAGCTATCAGTATGTATATTACCCTATTTTCTAAATATTTTTAATTGCAGAAATGTTCTTATTACCCCTTGTCACCCTGCAGAATCCCCTTTTTAATTCATCAACCATTATCTCTGAAAAACCAATTTCTTTTCAACATTTTACTATTTCCGTATTTCTTTATTTCATGCACCTGTTTCTTACTGCTTCTCCTCCCCCTCTTTTCCCCATATCTTTTCTCATTCCAGTTTATATCCCTCTCTTTCTTGATATCTTCCTTTCCCCTTTTCTGCTGGGTCTCTCTGCCTTTCCTGACTTCACAGGTATTCCCCCTTTTGATTGCCTTCTTAAATTTCAACTTTTTAACCTTCCTTCTTTCCCCACTTCTTTGTAGTGTTCTTTGTGTTAATTGTCTATTTAAAATGTCTTCTTGAGTCGACTCCTCCTCCTCTGAAGCTCTTTCTTCTTGTTCTTCAATCGCCATTTCCATTTTTTCTAACACAGAGCAAAGTGATTCGCCTCTTTCCTGTAGTAATTCTCTCATATTTTTAAGTTCCATTTTTAATTCCTGAAGAGATATCATCATTACACACTCTTATATTTTATGATCGTTAAAATCCACACAAAAAAAAACACTTTTACTTTCCTTCTTTCTTCTTTCAATTATCCAAAGTTCTCAGTTATTCCAGCCGAGGGTCTATATCAAAAACATCAATCAATCCCACAGTCAGTCTTTCCTTGCTTTTTCCTTTATTCTGGTTCTGCTTTCATTTTCTAAGATTCTTACTTTGTTTCAATATTTCTTTAATGTTATATCCACACAAGTTCATTCAGAAACAGGATGCTTTCCCTTTTGTTTGAGCTCAAGTTTTTGTCAAAAGGTGGCACTCTCCATTGTACAAAGTCTTCACCTTTTCCCCCTATTTTTTTATTTAGGGTTTTTCGAACCTTAATATTCCAGCACAGTCCAGTCTCCAATTTGTAAACTTTATTATTATTATTTTTTGACAATCTTAAATCCAGCTTTATTTTATGCCTGTTTATTCCCAAAATATTTTAGTCCAGTTTAGTTAAATCTTTAGTTCCAGTTTCTTCCTTTCCCGGTTCGAAGCCTCATCTAAACCCTCTAGAAATTGTTAGGAAAAGGGATTTAAAATACAGGTAGTCCTCCATTTATGACTGCAACTGAGCCAAACATTTCTGCTGCTAAGTGAGACAGTTGTTAAGGGAAATTTTGTCCCATTTTATGAACTTCCTTGCCATGGTTGTTAAGCGAATCACTTGCAGTTGTTGAGTGAGTAATATGGTTGTTAAAGTGAGTCAGGCTTCCCCAATTAAGTTTGCTGTTTGGAAGGTCACAAAATGGGGATCCCATATGAGTCAGTTGCCAAGCATCTGAATTTTGATCATGTGATCATTAGGGGTGTGTCATGCCCCTGTCAGAATCTGACTCAGAGGGGGAGGCCGAACAGGTGATAGGGAATGAGAGTGGTGGCTCCGTTGGCTGTGGAAGAAACTGGGGAAGGGCAAAGTCCGGCTGGCCAGAGCAGGGGAGAGGTAGAACAAGGGAGAGGGAGTTCAGAGGAAGACCCAGGCCCACCCCCTCTTCATCCTAGGGCACGCAGGGAGGAACAGAGAAGGGAGCAATGTGGGTTGCATGGCTTACAGGGGAGGAAAGGGCCTGATTCCCTTCATTAGCTGCAGCTGGGAACACAGTGTATAAAAAAAGGCAAGCTGAACGCAGCAAGCTGTTCGGAGCAAATGTGACTTTATCTTGTATCGTCATGGCTTATCTGTGTTCCTGGCATTTTCCCAACTGTGTGAGTTTTGTCATGCTTTCAAGTCTGAAATTCCTTCTCCTGCCCTGTCAGGCTAATTACTTCAGTTTGGTTTGTTTGGATTTTAAGTTACAGTTTGTGTGTACCTTGTTTTGGACTGAATTTCCTCCACTTAAAGGCTGTTCCTGGGAGAGTTTTTCTCCAGCCGAAGGTAACTTGGACATTGGGGGCAAAGTTGGAGATAATAAAGGGACTCCTATTGCTTATCTGACTGTATTGCCTTTGTGCCACGCCCCGAGTCATCACAGGATCCTACAATGGTTGTAAATGTGAATAATGATCATAAGTCACTTTTTAGGGTAACTTCAAATGGTCATTAAACGAGGACTGCTTGTACCGTTTTTGGACAGATCAGTTCTCATGGAGAGAGTTTTCCTGTCACGTAACTGAAAAATCAGCTATTCTCTGGATAAAATGTTACATTGATTTGAATGAGAAAGTGGTATTTTTTTAATTTAAATATATATATATATATCATGCAATGCTTAATCACACATTAAGCAACGTTAACCCTCCAGAAAACATGTTTCCCACAGGTATTAATAGATTTTCTTTATATCATTTTTAGGTCAACGGCACAGAGATTGAATATGAATTTGAAGAAATTACATTGGAAAGGGTAAGTTAATTATTTCTCACCCTAGAGAGACATTGTTATAAACACAAACAAAGCAGTGTGTTGGGAAAAAACCCACCCTTTATTTTCCATTTAAGCTATTTGAGTGGAAGTCACATTATTTAGCTGTGAGAAATGCCTATCGGTGCGGATTTATTACAGGTTTGAAATCTCAAAACTACTGCCTGCTTTACGTTGAAGACATAAACTGGATATAATCTGTGTCAACTTCTCCCCTCAGGATGCTGCTATAAGGCATTGCATGCCAAAAGTACTAGATAGTTTTTTCCCTCATGCCATCACTCTGCTAAACACCTAATACTCACAACACAGTCTTAGGCCTAAAGATAGTTTATTTATATTTTAGCAATAGGGCTGTATTGCTATTATCCTTCTCATCTTTCCTATTGCCTATTCCTATTGGTATCTTAGGATTGATCACTTTGTTGTGTGTACCTTATGATTTGTGATTGTATCTTATGATTTATTATTTATCACATTGTTAAACGTCTGTAGAGATTCTCAGTCATCCAGGTCATGGTTGTCCCAAAGGTGCTTTTTCAGGGGGCAACTGGACTTTCTGGTTTTTCTTTGAAGACATTTCGCTTCTCATCTAAGAAGCTTCTTCAGCTTCTTCCATTCCCCACCATCCTATCGGAGCTGAAGAAGCTTCTTGGATGAGAAGTGAAACATCCTCAAAAGAAAAAACAAGAAAGTCCAGTTACCTCCTGAAAAAACACCTTTGGCATTATCACATTGTTGTTTGTATGTACATTGAGATCTTATGCACCGGAAGCAAATTCCTTGTGTGTCTAACCCCATAGGCCAAAAAAGAACTTTTCTATTCTATTCTATTCTATTCTATTCTATTCTATTCTATTCTATTCTATTCTATTCTATTCTATTCTTACTCTTACTCTTACTCTTATTCTGTTATTCTAATTCTAATTCTATTGTATTATTCCTATTCTATTCTATTC